TAAAAGCCTCTGACGATCCCAGCTGAGTTGCCTGATCGTCAGAGGCTTTTTTTTCTTTACTTTTAAAGGCATTTTTTCGGCCAAAGAAAAAATGTTTTTAAAAGTAAAAAAAAAAAGCCTCTGATGATCGTATGGCTCAGCTGGGCATGGGTATTTTTTCAAAGCCTTTTTTCTCTTCAATCGGCGTCGCCAGCTGCTCTTCTGGTTTCCGGCACGTGCATGTGCGCCAGCCAGCTGATCTTCACGGGCACTGAAGCGCTGGAAAACGGCCTGAAAAACTGCCAAAATACAGGCTCTTTTTTGGGCTGTTTTCCAGTCTGTTTTTAGGCCATTTGGGGGCCATTTTTTGGGCCATTTTCAGGACTATTTTTCAGGCTGGTTTCAGGGCTGTTTTTCAGGCTGTTTCAGGGCTGTTTTTCAGGCCATTTTGGAATGATGAATGGCCTCAAAACGGCCTGAAAAATGGCCTCAAAACGGCCTGAAAAATGGCCTCAAAACAGCCCCCAAAACGGCCTGAAAATGGCCCAAAAATGGCCTGAAAATGGCCAAAAAACAGGCAGGCACGCACTGGCCAGCTGGTCTCCAGGTTTACGGCACTCCAGTACACGTACATGCACACACATGCACATGAGTTCCGGTTTGGGCACTCGGTGCTGAAAAGGTTTGCCGTCACTGGGCTACAGAATCTTCTTTTTGTCGTTTCACATTATTTGCAATCCAAACTCTTTTCTGTTAACAGTGGCCTGGGTTGCTCTGCTTTAAATGAAAATAATGATGAAACACATAAACGGCTTTTTAAAATAATAAATAGCAGACATCACATCTCATTCATGCAAGGTAAAAAATTTGCTTTAGCCTGCAGAACTAGATCAGGTCTCCTGAACCTGTTGACTAACTTTTTTAAAAAAGACATTATTCACAAATAGTATAAATGGTGCCTCACCAGACATTTGCTGATGTTAATGATTTTTTTTTTTTTAGCCGTTTTGAGAGTGATAATTATAGCTTTATGATAAAAAAGTGGCTCCCATGTTGGGTCAACTTACCTTGGGGCTTCTGTTCTGCATTACTGGTTTGTTTTTGGCTGCCATCATTGAGCATTAGACTGCAACAAAATCATGGGACATATACAGTATAAAATGTTGCATAATCTACGGGTAATGTAGGGAAAAAAGAACACCCATTATAGAATAGAATAACAGAGTTGGAAGGGACCTTGGAGGTCTTCTAGTCCAGCCCCCTGCTTAGGCAGGAAACCCTACACCACTTCAGACAAATGGTTATCCAACCTCTTCTTAAAAACTTCCAGTGTTGGAGAATTCACAACTTCCGGAGGCAAATTGTTCCACTGATTAATTGTTCTAGTTTCCACCCATTGCTTCTTGTCCTGCCCTCAGGAGCTTTGGAGAATAGCTTGACTCCCTTTTCTTTGTGGCAGCCCCTGAGATATCGGAACACTGCTATCATGTCTCCCCTAGTTTTTCTTTTCATTAAACTAGACATACCCAGTTCCTGCAACCGTTCTTCATAGGTTTTAGCCTCCAGTACCCTAATCCTCCTTGTTGCTCTTCTCTGCACTCTTTCTAGAGTCCCCACATCTTTTTTACATCGTGGCGACCAAAATTGAATGCAGTATTCCAAGTGTGGCCTTACCAAGGCATTATAAAGTGGTATTAACACTTCATGTGATCTTGATTCTATCCCTCTGTTTATGCAGCCTAGAACTGTGTTGGCTTTTTTGGCAGCTGCTGCACACGGCTGGCTCCTATTTAAATGGTTGGACTCCAAGATCCCTCTCACAGTTACTACTTTTGAGCAAGGTACCACATTATCAACTAATGCTCAGGGTTATCCCACAAAGGAGAAAATGCAGGAGAGTTTCAATAAACAAAGAAATTATATCTTCGTATAGCACCTAAGTAGGTTATGAAATTTGTGGCCACAACGCAGAACAAGGTCCCCACCTTAGAGTAACTATAAAAGGGGACGATATGATGACAACGCATTTCCCTTCAAGCTTTCCCATGATAGGGGTGAGTTCATAATTTGAGTTGTATTAAGGATATGAAAATTTACTTTGCCATGAACAAAATGAAGAGGGGATCAACTTAGTTTCCAAAGCACCAGAAGGCAGGACAAGAAGCAACAGATGGAAACTAATCAAGGAGAGAAGCAACCTAGAACTAGCGATAAATTTCCTGACAGTGAGAACAATTCACCAGTGGAACAGCTTGCCTCCAGAAGTTGTCAATGCTGCAATACTGGAAGGTTTTAAGAACAGATTGGATAACCACTTTTCTGAAATTGTATAGAGTCTCCTGCTGGAGCAATATCTGCAATATCTACGGACCCCTCACATCCTGGACATAAATTGTTTCAGACGCTATAGAGCACTGCACCCCAGAACAACTAGACACAAGAACAGTTTTTTCCCAAATGCCATCACTCTGCTTAACAACTAATTCCCACAACACTGTCAAATTATTTACTAAGACTGTATTACTATTATTCTTCTCACCCTTCCTATTACCTATCTCCTCCCACTTATGACTATAACCTTGTATCTCTACAATTTATATTGTTTTATTTGTTTCCTAGTATGATTTGATTGCTTATTAGTAACTATCACTATCACTAAGTGTTGTATCTTATGATTATTGATGAATGTATTTTTTTTTAGGTACACGGAGAGCATATGCACCAAAGACAAATTCCTTGTGGGTCCAATCACACTTGGCCAATATAGAATTCTATTCTTCATTTTGTAGATTCTAAATTTGTTCTAAGGATATTTTTATTTACAGCACATTACAGTAATCCAAGCGGGAAGTGACTAAGCCACGAATGACTGCAGCATGGTCCCCATTGGTCATAACTGGCACACCAAATGCAATTACACTACACAAACGCCCTCCCGGCTACAGATGCTACCTGCTGATCAATTGCAAACCACCTCTGAAGAATTCCATTGGGAGTCAGAGATGGCATTTCCATGGAATTCTCTGGCCCAAAACTAATCCATCTCAGATGGATTCAGTCCGAGTCTGTTCCTTCCCATTCAGACGCTCCAGGATTCAACATGGTTATTTAAAAGAACAAAACCCAGGAATACAGCCTGTATTAGAGAAAGCTGGCTGCAAAAATTGTTCAGCCTCCGTAGGAAAGCCACTTCTTTGCATGCATGACTGAATCCTGAGGATTTTAGATAGGATGGGGAAAAGCATGCTCCTATTACAAAACCTAGCTTTCAGCTTGTCCGTGTACAAGAGAGGACTTTTTAAAAATCTCTTGGAGGCAAAAGCCAGGTTCTCACATCACACATCACACAAAACCCAAAACTTGTTTATTTGGTTTGGCTTGGCCCTGTGCACTAACCCAAGTACTGTAATTGTAACCCAGTGGTGGATTCAACCTGTGTAACAGCCGGTTTGCTGAGCGTGCTTCGCTCGCATGCATGCCAAACACGCACTCTGCACATGCGCAGTGCATTTGAAAACAGCACTAAAACTTATCTTCTATTGCAGCGCCGGTGAGTAAAACAGCTGAGGCACGGCAATCCGCTCTACCATGCCTATCAGCTGGGCTTCAAACAAAGGAAATATAGGTCAGTTTAGATCAGGGGTGGGTGAGCAGGCCTAGCTGATTGTCGGAGCGAACCGGTTCGCTCTCAACTGATCGTCGGAGATACAGGTTCGCCCGAACTGGTCTGAACCAGCAGAATCCTACTGCTGCTGTAAACTATGGTTTACTGATCAACATGTTAAGCAAACCCAATTGTGGCTTCCTTACGTTTGGGCTGTAGCTTGCCTAAAGTGATTCTAGAAACCGATTTCAAAGACCATCTACAAGTGTTACGAGACGCCAGCTGTGCAGGGAAGGTACTCACAGGTTGTAGAAGTCCAGCAGTCTTGAACAGGGTGCCAGCAGCGCCGTATCGACTGTGAAAGAAGAAACTCATGCCCCAGATTGTAATGCGACAAGCCCCTCCTTCCAGCTCAATAATTCTGCCAAGTTTCTTCGGTGATTAAGCAAGATGGCTCCCCTGGGCCCCCTGGAACTCAAACAGACGTCTGAAATACCAGCCAAGTGCAACTCCGAATTATGGAAAGAATTGTCCAAGCAACATAACAAAATGTGAAAACTCTCGAGATCTTTGGAAAGTACCTAACCCAACTCTTTTTTGGGGTGGGGTGGGGTGGAGCATTCAGGTGCTTTTAGGGAATTCTTTGCTAATCTTCCTATTCTATTTTAAAAAGGAACCTTGCCTATTTAAGGCGCCAGGGTGTCAAAGTAGGTAACCTGCTTTATTTTCTACATTAGCTTGGCAATTCTTGGCATACACCTGGAGGTATACAAGCTTTTCGGACTTTAGCAGAGAAATTTTTCCTGAGGATGGGCTCCAGCATGAGTCCAAAAGCTTAGCAATAGCACTAGTACTTAGACTTATATACTGCTTTATAGTGCTTTACAGACCTCTCTAAGTGGTTTACAGAGTCAGCCTCTTTCCCCCAACCATCTGGGTCCTCATTTTACCCACCTCATAAGGATGGAAGGCTGAGTCAACCTTGAGCCTGGTGAGATTCGAACTGCCAAATTGCTGGCAGTCAGTAGAAGTAGCCTGCGGTACTGCATTCTAACCACTGCGCCACCTCGGCTCTTAGTCTGTAAAGGACTAAACCTTTGGTCCTGGTGACTGATCCAGATTGGATCCTGCAACACTATATCTGAGTTGTTAAAGACACATGCAACTTTCCAATGTAAGAATATAAATGTATTAGGCCAATGTTGTATGTGGAATCATCTACAGTGTGTCAGGGGAGTGTGCAAAGAGATCCTGGGCCTGTCCAGAGTAAGATCCACATATTGTGCACTAAAAACCAATGCAAATCAGCCATTCCTTCTACTGTATTCAGCCTCGACACCATTACATTTCATGTTAATGTGTGCAAAACCAGAAAGTCTTTGTTCTGATCTAGGCTTCCTGAGTCAGTAAAACACAAGTAGTCCCAAAAACCTCTTTTATTGCAACAGCTGTGAATTCTGTTCATTCACAGATGAGTCTCAAATAATTGTAGAGTCCTTCGGGGCTAAGGCTGATAAACACCCACCTTTATCTCCCTTGACACGCTGCCAAAGACCTAATTGCAAAGCCACACGGAGGCCAGAATCAAACAGAGCTTCAGACTTTAAACTGCACAGAATAAACAATGTTGCTTCCTGCAATGTTCCCACGTGCCTTTGCTCCTCTTTTAAGGCTTATGGGAGGGGCCAATCATCTCCAAGCCCTACTCCCAAGTCGTCCCTTTTGTTTTAACTGTTCTTGGCTTCTGGCAGCTCTGTGGTTGCGCGCACTGGGAACAGTGTCCCCCCGTTCCTTTGCCTCGCTGAGGTCCGACTCTGGAGGCTCCAGGGGCAGCACGTACCTCCCAAATGGCTCTTTCTCTGCCTCTGACGCAGAGCCCTTGTCCGAGCCTTCCCCAGACTCCAGGACTGGGCCATGTTCTTTCCCAGCCTTCTCACTGTCCAACTCTGCTGCCAGCTCTGCAGGCTGCTGGCGGACCACAAGAGTCTTGTTGTTGTCTTCGGATAGTATAACTGTGTTTTTGGCAAAGTGGGGTCCTTTGTATTCTCTGAGCTTAGTTGTTTACTTGTCGAAGTTTCATTACCCAACTTCAGCGCACTCATGACTTTAACCTAGTTTGGGTAATGAAACATCTGCAAGAAAACAACCAAGCTCAGAAAGCACCAAGGACCAGGTCAACCCTGAGCTATAAATATTCTCTTCTTTTGGCAAAGTCCCGGGGCTACATGAAAACTACCTCCTCCCCCTTTGCGTGTTTAATGCTTTTCACCCTAATCCGTTACTCCATGATGTAGGCAAAAAAGCAAAAGAGATTATGTAAACTAGAAATTCTTCCCTTAAGCCTAGCAAAGAGTCACCGGAGCACAAAGGGCAACCGCCATTCCAAAATGAAATATTTGGCAATAACTTTATAGCTGGCAGAGAGAGGACTGAATGCATTTTTTTTTAAAAAAAAAATATTCCAGAAGACAAATTCATCCTAGGTTTAGACATTGGGGACGTTAAAGGAGACAGCTGTGCTTCACCAATGAAGACACAGCATATGCAGAGGAATTTAACCAGCATCATAGGACATGAAGGTGTTGGTAGAGAAACGAAAAACTTCCTTTAAATTCCACCTCCAGTTCTTCTTGCTTACTCTCTCGTGTGGCTCTCCTTTGCAAATGTCCTCTTAAGTTTCTCATGCACTTCGATAATGCAACTTCAGGGCCCATAAAATCCAGTGGAATGACACAAGGCTTCTCCAGAAAGAGCATTGGGAAAAGCCAATGACTCCCATATCAAAATGGTGCCGGAGTGGAGTTCTGTTACCAATCAAACTTTCCTATAAGAAACTATTCTCCTCCCTTCCCTTCCCTTCCCAATAGTCTTCCTTTCCTTTCCTTCCCTTTTCCTTCCCAATAGTCTTCCTTTCCTTTCCTCCTTTCCTTTCCTTTCCTTTCCTTTCCTTTCCTTTCCTT